TCACTGTCAGTGCCCCACACCTGTACCTTCAGCTTGTAGGATCAAAAAGTCTTCAAAACCAGAAATCCGTCCCTTCCCTTGCAATGCAGGCTGAGGGCCTGGGTCCTTGGGCTCTGCATCGGGGTTTTCCCTCTCACAGTTGCTGCAACAGGAAGAAGATGGCAGAAATTGTCCCCCAGTCACCCGAAGCAGCCGTGCTGCTGTGGGAAGCCAGGATGCAGGAGTCGGCAGAAGCATGGGTCCTGGCAGCCTGCGCCCCGGCCCTTCGGAGCCCCTGAGCTCTCCCAGCAGCATCCTCAGCCTAAGGTCCCTGCAGGGCTGCCTCAGGGCACTGCAGCCGTCCAACACGAACAGAGAGGTAAGCAGAACGAAACTCCACGCTGTGTGAAGTTAGGGTAGCTGCAGGCAGCGAAACAAGTCAATGGCACGAAAATAGAGGTTGACATAAAATCTGAAATACCTATGCTGTCAGGCAAGGTATGGATAAAAAAAGGGGTTAAATATTTTAATTGGTTTATTAAATGTTAAGCCATTTGGGAAGGAACAGTCACTCTGCATCCTGCAACAAAATCAGCATGCAGCAGCCATTGCCAAAGAGAAAAGAAGAAAGTCTCTGTAAAGACAGATTTAGCTTTTGATCTGTACAGACTAGGCGATGCACTCCAGGTTGTCAGATTATGGTTGCACATGCGGGACAGTAGTTGGAGGAATAAATACCCGAGGCTGAGCAGGAGCTGCCAAGGAAAAGGCAGAAAGGGACTGGGAGCAGGTTCTTCGCTGGCCGAATGCTAGAAATGGGAGAGGTGCTCGGAGCGGGTGGGGAGGGTGGCGCTGGGTCAGCCCTCTGCCCGCAGAACCGCAGGCAGACTGCTTCCATCTGTGTTAGGAGTTGGGTCATTCACCTGCCACCTGCGGACATGCTGTCCCCTAACATCCTAGAAGACGAAAGCATCATTCATTTACTCACTTATTTTGATTCTCAGTTGATCCACCTGGTTCTTCTCAACATTTTAAATTTTATATATTTTGCAAACCTTTTATTATCTGGTTTTAAGTACGTGTTGCTGCCTGAAGAATCACCTGGAAACATGAATTAACTGCAATAATACAAAAGGCAGAAAAAGTGTTTCATAATTTTATTGGAGCGGATTCAAAGTGAGGTTGCTAGGTACGGTGCCAGTAACTCTGTGGCTGCAGTTCTGCTGCCACTACAAATAGTTACAACTTCAAAAGCCATGCCTAACAGTAAATGTACATGCAAACACCCCGTGCTTTATCAAAAAAAAAAAAAAAACTTTTATTTGTTAAAATTATAGACAAATAAGGGTTTTTTTAACCACTATTTAATTAAAGCAGTTACATAGCCTGAGCTTAAATACCAAGTAGCACTGTCTCTGCATATATTGCAGTCAAATTTCACTAGTATTTACACAAAAATTGAACTTACTCAACAATATGAAAATCACAGTACAATAGAAAAATAAACATTTTCACGTATATCCTTTAAGCACACTGTAATTCATAGCCACAAAATAAGTAGTGGTTTTAATTCACAAGTCATATGTCTTCAAAGTATTTGAAATTATTGTGCCAATACAGTTAGGCTCCAGAAATAATATTCTGTAGTAGGTTCTGATTCAGTGCAAAGCACCTGAAGTTAGAAATAATACAGCAAATGTAAGTAGAGTGAAACAGTCCTGTTCAAGCAGCTATAATTGTTGGTTTTGGTGTTTGTTTTTTTTTTAAAGTTAAGGGCTTTTAGTATAGGGCCAAACCAGCTTCCACCCAAGGGCCAGCATTCCTCCCTGTAGCTCTGCTTGCACCGTCCCCAGTGCTTGCACTGTCCCCAGTTTGCAGCTGGCAGCTGTCGAACACGGCTGCTCAGGAGCTTGGAATACATTTTTCATGTTCAAATTCAACTTCAGGCCTATAGCTTCCTTCAAAAATTTTACCAGAGGTGGAGACTAACCACTGCAAGTAACAAATATGAATGTATGGACTTGAAAAATAATGAGCTTATCACAGAAATAAGTCATACCTGTGTTAAGACATATGACTTTATTAATGTTTCTGTTCTGGACCAATCTGAAGACAAAAACTAGTAACAAGGGAAAAAAAAGAATCCCAGAAAGGCAATTAGCAGGTTTTTTGTCTCCTGGCACCCCTGGGGCCAGCGTGTTTAACTGCTACAGACCTGACTTTCCAGGTAGGACTGTCTGTGGGTGGCAGCGGGGAAGAACAGCCCTTTCCATAATGTGTTCTGCCCAGCTCTCAGTGGGACCAGAGCTAGCAGAACAAGTGCGTTACGCTCAGCGGGCTCCAGACGGACTCAGCCCTGCAGCTGGAGCAGCCACAGCAGCAGCGCCCGCTCCCCGGAGCTCCTGCTGCACAAGGCTCCTGTGCCAGAGGCGCCCGGGGGTGCCCAGAGCCTTGTGTCCTCCCCGCCCTGTCCTTCCTCATCGAGAAAGAGAAGAGGAGCATGCCAGGCTCAGGAAAACTTGGCGTGACCCTCTTTGGGCTCATACAGCATGACCCCGAGGGTTTAGTCTATGGGCCCACACCGTGGAAACAAATCTTCAGCTTCTGTCCTTGGGTGTGAACAGGAAGGCAGCGGGATGCTCTGCGGCATTCACTCGCTCATGGGCTGTCAGCCACAAAAATGGCCCTGCAGCTTCCCACAGTCACCTTCCACAGGATCGCAGGGGAATTTGGGTTGGGAGGCAGCTTACCAGGGCATTTAGTGCAATCTCCTGCTCAAAGCAGGGTCAGGCAAGGTACTTCTGGTTCCCTATGTTTGATCATTATTTCATTAACTTGGTGTCAGATGAACTGGATTAAAACAAAAAATCCTACATGCTATGTTATGAAAATGTACAAACTGACAGCAGATCATGTGTAGGTTTCATACTGATTTCATTTTGTGTTAAAGATTACCATATGTGGGAGTTAATGGGCATAAATGAGAAAAAAAAATTAACCCTATGAGCTGGAGGAAGCAAAATATAGCTAATGAATAATAATTTGTTTTGGCGTGGATCAATGTAGAATGCTTTGGCAAAACTTAACTTAAGCTCTAAATAACTATTTACTTCAACCCTTTTGGCGTCTTCAGTGAATGATTTGTAGTTATTAAAAGATTCCCAAATATACCCAGAGGAAAAATAGGTTAAAAGCATGACCATGAAATCATTAAAGGTTTAATCTCATTTGCTAGTTGAAGGCTAATACAGCACAATGAGGGAAGGTGGAACTTTTAAGTGGTCTTCCTGTAGTGAGATGATGAGCTGAATCTTGTTGCTAGTAAACGCAACCCATCGTCATCATTGATTATTAATTAAAAGCCCAAAGGCTGTAGCTGAGATTGCATTCTCTTTGCATATTGGATAGGTCAGAAACAAACTCCAGCGGCTTAGGGAAAGGCTTCTTCAACTATACCCATCACAGAGGTTTATGTATAAACACAGGCATCACCTTGGGCCTCTAAGGCTGGTGGACTGATTGTCTTCCACAAAGACATTATAGTAAGGGTAAGTGCCAAAAGGCAAATATTTAAGAACAGTCTTGCCAAGTTCCCCAGGAGCTAATGGCTCCAGCCACCACACTGCCTGTAGATCTCCTTGGTTTTTGTCCTGGTGGTGTCCAATCCTCCCACGTCTGACCAGCTTCCTCTCTGATGGGATGGCCCAACAGACATTATTCCATCATGTTGCAGGTAAAAAAGTAATCGTGTCGGAGGAGAGATGAATTTGGCGTGATTTTGCAGCAGTTCCTACTACCCCATGTCAAATATAGCAATACTTAAAAAAAGAGCAGGAACTTTAAATGAGATTGCGAGGCTCAGCTTCGAGTTCCAGCGGGACTCAGAGGAGGCTGTGACTCTCAGCGTGTGTACAGCAGGGAGTCCCACCGCAGCAGGATGCGGTCTGAGGTGTTAGCTCTGCAGGTCATAGGATCTCAAAGATGGAAAAGAAACTGTGTGTAAAATGTGTTTAATGATGCTTCTCGGTGTTTGGTGGGAGGCTCCCATACACTTCTGGGAGGTGAAGATGCCGAGTGCAGTTGCCTGCCATAGCTGATCATCAGAAGTGATCTTCATTAAATAATCAGAACAGACCTCAGTAGTGAACTGCACGAATGATCCGGCCAGTTGCACAGTTCTCTTCAGTGAGGCAAGATGAAACAGACGGAGCTTTCAACGGTTCACGAGGAAAGCATAAAAACATCGCAGGTGTTCAAGACCCAGAAGACTGCAGGGCAGACACTGGAACAGAGGCGGCTGTCCTAAGCTCCAGAAGGTGGATCTCCCTGGCAGGGTGTGTATCCGGACGGTGGGTCTCTCCTGCAGCATGCCCAGCCTGCTGTAGCTGGGCCCATAGAGTTTTGTTGCACTTGGATTTCATACACACTGTAATAGTTAGCCAACTTTGCCGTATTAAAGAGACATATTGCAGGAAGACTGTAAGTAACTACATAAGGACCAACCTGGGTGTACGGTTTTACATTCTGTTCTGTCTGTTTAGGATCTTTTTTCAGACATGGATAAGTGGAACATTTTACTTCCTAACTGAAAGAGAGAAATAGACCACAAAATGCTGGGAAATGAATACAATTTTAAACCTAGAGAAGCAGATTCAGAGAATATCCTATTTTTATGCTCTCTCTCCGTTTAATTCATCTGCCATGCCAAAGAAGACATGCCTCAGTTGAATGAAATCTCAAATAATCACATAATAGGAGAAGTCATTTATTGTGAATCAGGCTCATTCTCTGGTGATATAAATAGGCTGTGCTGTTCCACAGTCTTTTGTCAGTAGGGATTAATTAGCAGTTGACCCTTGGTTGGGATTTCTTCACTACCTCTACATTTTTCATCTCATAGGGCTAAATGAGATCTTAACATTGCTTTAAGAAGCTATGCTTCCTAAGCAGCAGCTTAATTTATCTTTGGGCTATAAATCAGTAGTTTAATTTATCACTAGGTTACATATCAACAGTGAATAGTCAGGGTGGAATTGAGTTTATTATAAAGATATTCTGCTAGAAGACACAGTATTACAGTGATTGAAACATGCTGTTAAATTTTCCATTAATGCCCAATTCTGAATATGAATACGGAGAACCACACTTTACATACTTTACATTTAGCTTTCTAATAAATAAGTTCAATAAATAGGGATTTTGCAGATGAAGAAGCTGTACGTGTGAACAGAAGCTGCTTTACAATGTTGTCAAAAAATAACTAGAGCTATTCTTGTTTGTTACCAATCACTGGAAATCGTAAGTAAAATATAAATATTTTACTCTTACTATGAAGACTGGAGGAACGAAGATCTGTTAAAATCACCCTCAGGATTACATAGAACTTAATTTTGTACACTAAATTTATAATTTAGAGCATGCTTTTGTACCATTTTTAGCACACAATATTTTCAAATACATTTCTTAAAAATATGAGAAATGAGTAAGACTGCCCATGTAAGATTTCATCTGTGCTCTGATCACTAGCTCTTGTGTTACACAATATTGCAGTTTGGCTAATTTTGGATGACCTATTCCACATTTGAAGAAGATCTATAATAAAGGGCCGGATTTAGTCTGTAGTATATTGTAACATCTTGTTAATACAGTAATTTATTTGTCACAGTACAAAAAAATTAATTCCCCCCAGTTATTTTTTTATATATATACAATATATAATCCATTTATATTACCCATTTTAATAATTATTTTCTTGGGAAACAACTCTTATGTTATCTCTAAAGATTGCCAGGAACAGAAATATTCTCGTACCAAATGAAAACGCAAGTAACTCGAGCAACTGTAGTTTTACTTCTCTGAAAGGTACAGTTATTTTCAGCGCACACATTTCTCATGTTTTACCCGTAAAGAACTCCAGCAAGGCTCCCAACACCGGCAGTCAAGCGTTCGCGCTGCAGCGAGATGTTGGTCAGCCTTTGGGAAGGGCGAGTGCCCATGGCTCCACCGAGCTCGCGCAGGCGCTCCCCAGGCAAGCCCAGTCCGTGCTCAGCCCCGTCCCGCGGTTCCTCCGGCTGACAACCCGCCAGTTTTCCTCAGCATGGAAGGCAGGATCGGACCATCAGCTGCCCAGAACCAAATCACCTCCGCACGCATTTGCACGCCGACATCTGTTCACGGAACGCACTACGTGCAAGTGCAAAGCAGGCACCTGCTTAGCTGCCAGTGGCTGAGGTGTCAGTTCACCTGGAAGCCAATTTGCCTTTAATGGGGTCCAGATTTTTCATGAACAACCATCGTAATCTGAAAGCATAATCATGCACACATCAGTAAGCCTACCTTTTGTAAAACACCGGCACTCAAAGAAGACTGAATCATAAATGCTACCGAACTATCAAATAATTAACAACACTAGAAGTAGATGAAGAAATAATAAAACTGTAAAGGTGAGATAACTGCATCATGACTTTGATTTAAATACTTGTTTACAACAGCAAGTGAGCAAAAGGCTAGGTATGTGGACTGAGCCTCAGAAGAGAAGACACTGCTTTTTCTTATTGTTATTTCCTATTTTTAAAGAGAGGCTGACTGAGAACATTTTTGAATGTGGGAGACTAAGTCATTAAAACAGAAGCACTTGGATTGCCTTCTTCCTTTAGGGGATTTACTTCATTTTATTTTATCTGACACGAGTCAGAAAGAAATGAGAATATTGTAAGGAGAAGGAAAGCTGAATTTTGACACGTTATTTTCCATTAAAATTCTTCCGCTGATTTTGTTAAGCTTTTTCTAAGGTCAGAAAATGAGGCTTTACCTAAAACGAATTTGAGAGACTGGTAGATTTTCCTCACGCACTTGTAGCACTACAGTGTCCTACTGTCTCAAAGCAGTGGATTTTTCCAAACGGTTCCCAAATCTTTTGCATTCGTTCACAAACTCGTATCTCCGTTCTGTTTATACTCAGATAAAATATTGAGAGTCATTTCCTCACTTTTGGACTGCACGTTGTGTTCACTTCTTCTGGACGATTTCCTGGTCGCCCTGGAAAGCCGCCTTCGAAAGGTATCACCTGCCAGAAAGTAAAGGATAGGGTCGACGCAGCTGTTGAGGCTGGCCAGACCCCTTGTCACTTGGTAAGTGGCATAAACCTTATCGTTGAAGGCACACATTTGTGGAGTCTGAAAATCCACCCTGGCTCTTAGATTTAAGGTCTTCATCACGTGGAAGGGAAGGTAAGACACAGCAAAGACTGTCAACACAATAATAACCAGGTAAATCGACTTTCTCCTGAGAGGAGAATTGTCCAAATCTTTGTAAATCAAAGCTTTCACAATGAGCCCATAGCAACCAAGAATCAGTATGAACGGGATGCAGAACATAAGCACTGTGGTGCACATGCTGTAAATAAAGTAACTTCTCAGGTAATCATCGGCTGTTGTGTCGTAGCACGTCGTGGTTTTATTTCTCCTTATCCCCGTTCCCGAGTAGAAGAGTATTGGAGAAATCACGGCCACCACAATGACCCAGACCAAGGTGCTGATGTACACCGCGTTCTTCTTCTTCAGCCTCCCCAGCGACTTCAAGGGGTGCACCACTCCCGTGTACCTGTGCACACTTATGCAAGTTAGAAACAAAATACTGCCGTACAGGTTCACATGGAAGATGAACCTCTGCAGCTTGCACATGATATCTCCAAAGATCCAGTCTGTTTTATTGAAGTAGTAAAAGATGAGGGCAGGCAGAGTCAAGACATACAAGAAATCAGCTAGCGCCAAGTTGAACATGTAAACCGAGATGCCGCTCCAAGGCCTCATGTGGAAGACAAACATCCAGATGGCCACACTGTTTCCCAGAAACCCAGTGATGAAGACCAGAATGTAGACGGTGGGCAGGTAATAGAACTGGAAGCCAGTTTTGGTCAGGGAACACTTGGTGGTGGCGTTTCCCGCAGACCAGCCGCTGCTGGATAACAGGTTGGGTTCAGTTCCATTCAAAGCAGCAGAGAAGAAGACTTCGGTCATGATCCTTCCACCAGAGTCACATAGGCCTGAGGTGAAGCAACAAAGTCTCTACAGGAACAGTAACGCATCTGAAGAAAGAAAAGAGCAAAGAAAACCTAACTGGAAGGTAAAACCTGCCCTGCTTTTCTTCAGAGGGTTTCCATGCGGGTGTGCTCGGCTGAGTGTCTCCCACCCGCGCAGG